TTTGATTTACATTTAAGTTTAAAACTAAACGCAGCATTGAAAAAGGATCAACTGATTAGTAAGAAACCATGCTATAAATTTTCCTTAACTTTCACTGACATCTAAAAATAGATTCAGCTAAGAACCACTGTTGGTAAGTACATGGACGATGGCCTCTGCCTTGGAAGCAAGCAGCTTAAACCTTAATCATACACAGAAGATCATAAATTTAAAAGAATTTTAGAATTGGAAGGATTTACAGAAGTAATCTAATCTCCTTGTTCTACAGATAAAGAAGGAAGATGAAGAGACTTTTATACAGCTAATGAGCTGTTTAAACAGGCTTAAAAAACAATTTAAAGAAATCAAGTATGAGGCTTTCCCACTTCATATAAAGAGGTTACTTTCTTGCTTATACTAAGATCTATTTTAAGCCTGGACCCTGAGAAATAAGATTGTGCAATATTTCTCAGCTAAGAACCAACGGGAGATCCTAATTTCTGTTTCCTTAGTCACAAAAACTGACCCTGACCTCTCTCCACAGAATTATAGCTAATCATCAAGCCCCATGGGACCCAAACTATGTTCCCATCTGTGACTAAGGTTAAAATGGACTCCCCCACCCACCCCCGCTCAGTTTTTCCTGAGAAATCTGGCAACTTCCATGCATATCTGTTTTGATTAGGTAGTATGGATGCTGCTGCTAATAGAAACAGAAAATAGAAAAATATGTGAGAAGTGGGTAAAACCAGGCATTTTTTTGGAAACAAACTAAATTTTATTATCATTTGAAAATTGCTCCTTTATTCACTGTTATACTCAATCTTCTGCCTTTTAGATTCACAAAGACTGTCAATATCTCTAGTCCTAACCTTCCCAAGTACCTAATTTTTAATTTGTAATGGGATTCTATTTCTACAGCTGAGCTTCTATTTCTCCCAACAATGCATGAGGAATTCCTAGGTTTTAATAGTGATAATCCTCTTTGCCTGGATTAGTCTCACACTTTGAGTAAGACCTTTATGAATTAGGCAAGTTTTTAAATTAAGTTTTCAGTTAATTTAGCTGTAAAACTGAAAAAATATCCACATTACCTACCTCACAGGGATGCCTGTGAGAGTGAAGAATTACAATGTGATACAAATGTAGGCATTATCCTGAAAGAGAAAGAATGCTAACCATTTCTGGTTTCATCAAAGTCATTTACGAAGGCAATGTGATCACAAATATATTACCTTATACTTAAAAATAATTAAAATGGTAAATTACTTTCCATTGACAGACAAGTGGATAAACAAAATGTGGTATACACACACCATGAAATATTGGGCCTTAAAAAGGAAGGAAATTCTGACATATGCTACAACATGGATGAACCTTGAACATTATGCTAAGTGAAGCAAGTCAAACACAAAAGTACAAACATTGTATGATTTCACGTACATGAGGAACCTAGAGTATTAAGTTCATAGAGGAAGTACAATGGTGGTTATCCAGGACCAGGGGAAAGGGAGAATGAAGAGTTATTGTTTAAATAGGCACAGAGTTTCAGTTTGGGATGATGACAAAGTTCTGTAGATGGATAGTGGTATAGTTGCACAACAATGTGATGTATGGAATGCCACTGAACTGTACACTCAAAAATGGTTACAACGGTGAATTTCAAGTGATGTACATTTTACCACAATAAGAAAAAATATTACCTTGAAGGTCTCCAATCATCTCAGAATCATGACCCCTGTCTCTTCGTTCAGCTTCTAATATAGCTTGCAGCTGGTAATAATCCTTGTCCGTTTGTGACTTGGAATTCTCTAAAATTCTATTTCTCTCCTGCAATTCTCTGTTCAGGGACTCTAGCTGACTAATTGACTTGCTCATCTCTGTGTGACTCTTCCTTAATCTTACTGCTGTGTCCGATTCTGTCCTAAGTAAGTCATTGGCTTCTTCTAGCTATTTAAAAAAGAAAGCAAGACAATAGGTTTCTGACCAAGGTACAACCAAACTTGTTTTAATTAACCATAATTTTTAAAAAAGGAATCCATTTGAAAAACTTACCTGCTTTTGTAATTGTGCCAGCTTCTCATTAGCAAGCTGTGAATTCTGACTTACTTTCTTTAAATCTTCCAATTGATCCTTTAATGTAGAAACTAGAAAATGAAATAATAATATGTAGAAATTACAAAGTTTTCTTAGGGGAAATATAAATTCCTTTTAAAAAGTGACATTTGGTGATATATATTAGGTCATTATAGTCAGCCACATTAGGTCCACCCCCACAGCCAAATTCCATCTTGGAAGTACTTATATTTTAAATTCATCAAAAAATAGAGCATCGTTTTATAATATGGAGTGCAAAAACAGATTTGTTCTCACTGTTGTAATATCTCAAATTCTTTTATTCCCTTTATATAAATCTATTAGTGTTATATTGTAAAGCTAGTTTTAATATTATTTATTTTTGAATAGAATTACTTGAATAGTTCAATATTTTAATAATGATATATAATTTAAAAGGTTCCAAACTGTAGACAGTAGAGAATGAGGCTTTCTCCCTTCATTTTGTCTTCTGGTCCTTCTGTGCCTCCTGCTTAACTGACTCTCCTCCTCACATATGTATTTAAGCATATATAAACAATCACTCTTGTTTTAAACACAAATGATCTGTACTTTGTTTCTGTGATTTAAGGATACCTCTTAGAGATTCTTTTATAACAGTACATAAGGAGATGCTTTATTCTTCTATAAGCCGCATAGTATTCTACCATATAGATGCACCAAAATTTATATCATTGATGACATTTACGTTGTTTATACTTTTTGCCATCTTAAACAAGGCTACAATGAACAGCCTTGTGTATACATCAGTTTGCATGTATGCAAGTATATATGTAAAATAAACCCCTATAAATGAAATCACTGGATCGAAGGATGTAGAAAGCTATTTTAAATGTATTTGTAACACTGGCATTAAAACACACGAAACTCTAGCTTAGCAGTTCTCAAATGTCACTTCTTGTTAGAAGTGCCTGGGAGGCCTGTAGAAAATACTGATGCCCAGGCCACCCATCTATACCAATTAAATTAGAATTTCTGGAGTATTCTTTAAAGCTTCCCAGGAGATTCCAATATGCAAACAATGATGACAAGCACTATTCTAGCTAAATACTACTTACTACTGACTTCAATATGTTATAAATCTAACTTGGGATCTGGGTTATTTAGCTCATAAAGTGTCTTAGAATTGTGGCTTTATACATATATCATGGGCACTACATTTAAGAAAACCTCATAATAAAGAACTCAAGAATAGTGTTAGAAATACCAGCGTTTTTCAAAAGAAGTAACAACTTACCTTCATTTTCTACATTTCGCCTCTTCTCATTTTCCTGTTCAGCTTTTCTTTGGTACTCATTAATTCTATGCTGTAGTAACATTTTCTCCTTCTCTATTTGAGACACTGTAGATTCTAGATTTCTTCTTTGATTTCCCTGAAATTATGTTAACACCATTGCAATTAACACTCTTGTCATTTATTCAAGGGAATACTTAGTTCTTAAAAACAAAATCGACAACAAAAAAAACCCAAACAAAAACTTAAGATGGATTTTATTTATTTTTTTTGCAAAACTAGATAGTACCTTCTAATAACGACTATTTCTTTTAAGAGATGGGGTCTCACTCTGTCGCCCAGGCTGGAGTGTAATGGCACAATCATAGCTCACTGCAGCCTCCAACTCCTGTGCTTGTATCATCTTCCCACCTCAGCCTCCTGAGTAGTGCATATCACCATGCCCAGCTAATTTAAAAAAATTTTTTGTGGAGACAGAATCTTGCTATGTTGGTCTCTACTCCTGGCCTCAAGGAAGTTTTGGCCTCCCAAAGCGCTGGGATTACAGGCATGAGCCACCGTGCCCAGCCAACAACTTCTTAATAACGGAAGTTCCTTGCCTTATAAGAGATAGTGAGAATCCGCTTATTTGAACTAGATGTGTAGAATTTTCCTTTTGAATCCATGAATTTAAAGTACAACCCTATGAATCTTACTTTTTCAAATTAAAAACTGTTTTCTTAGTTTAAGACAATCATATTGTATTATACTACCAATATTTTGGTTTATTAACAATCCTAAATTTAAGGTATAAAATATGAAAGGATCAGATAATGATTACATATTTAATAATTAAGTGATGCAAAGCTCAAATGGTACCAAATGGTACAGAGTGTGCAGTGAGTTTACCAGTTCCTCTATGTCTCCCTTAATCCTCTCCCTGTCTCAACAATTTGCTAATCTTTTCTAAGATGTTCTATTAATATCTACCCACTAATGTGTATTAAAAAGTAATCAAGGAAATATTTATTTTAGAAAAAGAAACCACAAGGGAGAGAAGGGTTAAAATACCCAAATTTTCACAAATTAAAAAAAACCTCATCTTCTGTTTCTGAGCTATTACCACCAGCATATCTTGTTTCTGATGCTTCACTTTTATCTTTAAGACTCTACACTGGGAAAAATCTGTTTTACAGTGTGTTTTTTTCTGGGCTCTCCCATCTTTAAACAAAAATTTTATATATATCATTCAAGGTATTTCCAATTCCAAGATTTTATTCTTTTAGCTAATTTTTAAATTTTTACATAATTGTGCATTCACAAAAAGTTGCAAAGATAGTACAAAGAGGTCCTATGTACCCTTACACTCAGTTTCCCCCAATAGTTACACTATATATATCAATAATAATAGTATATTAACAAAATCAACACATTGACATTGACATGAAGTGTAGATTCACGTAAAGCACCACCATAGTCAAGATACAGAACTGTTTCATCATCACAATGACCTCCTTCCAGTCATTACTTATAGCCACTCACCCCTGTTCTCTCACCCATATTCCTCACAAACAATGATCCTCCATGTCTAAAATTTGTCTTTTTAAGAATGTTATATAAATGGAACCATATAATATGACCGACTGATGACCGATTTATTTGTTTGTTTGTTCTGGATCTGGGAACTCTTCTATAGATTTTTTTTTTTTTTTAAATAGAGACAGAGTCTCACTCTGTTGCCCAGGCTGGAGTGCAGCAGTGCACTCATAGTTCACTGCAGCCTCAAACTCCTAGGTCCGAGGGATCCTCCTGCCTCAGCCTCCCGAGTAGCTGGGACTATAGTCGTGCTCCACCATGCCTGGCTAATTTTTCTTTCTTTTTTTTTGTAGAGATGGGGTCTTGTTATTAGTATGTTGCCCAGGCTGGTCTCAAACTACTAGCCTCAAGTGATCCTCCTGCCTTGGTCTCCCAAAGTGCTGGGATTATAGGAGTGAGCTACCACCCATGGCTCAATACGACTTTTTGAGACTGGCTTTTTTAAATTCAGCATAAAGCCCTTAAAATCCATCCAAACAGTTGTATGTATCTCTAGTTCATTCCTTCTTGTGGCTGAGTAGTACTCCATGGTACAAATAACCCAAAATTTGTTCAACCATTCACCTACTATAGGACATTCTGGTTGTTTTCAGTTTTTGCCTATCACAAATAAAGCTGCTATGAATGGTAGTATACAGGTTTTTGTGAGGATGTAAGTTTTCATTTTTCTGGGTGAATGCCCAAGACTGCAACTGCTGGGTAACATGGTGGCTGCATGGTTGGTTTTTCAGAAAATGGCCAAATGGTTTTCCAGAATGTCTATTCCATTTTATGTCTCCATGTGCAATGTACAACTGACCCAGTTTTTCTACATCCTTGACAGTTTTAGTATTCACACAATTTTAAATTTTACTTGTTCTAATGGTTATAGAGTGACATTTCACGCTAGTTCTAATCTGCATTTCCCAAATGGCTAATACTACAAATATCTTTTCATATGCTTGTCATCCATATTCTTTTGGTGAAATGTATGTCATTTTGTAAATTTTCAAACTGGATTATTTACTGTTGTGCTTTGAGAGTTCTTTAAGTATTCTACATAAGAGTCCTCTGTGAGATGCACAGTTTGCAAATCCCACCCACCCCCAATAGCTTGTCATTTCTTCCTCTTAATAGGGTCTTTCACAGAGCAACTGTGGTTAATTCTGATTGAGTCCAATTTATTCAATTTTCTTTCATTTCATGGTATCATATCTAAGAACTCTTTACCAAGCTGTATGTCCCAAAGATTTTCCTCTATTTTTTTAAAAAGTTTTATACTTTTATATTTACATTCTAATCTATGAATCATTTTAATTTTGGCATAAGGTGTGAGACTTACATTGAGCTTCATATCTTGTCCAATAGATATGTAATTGCTCCAGTACCATTTGTTGGAAGGACTATCCTTCCTCCATTGAATTACTTTTACACTTCTGTCAAAAATAAACAGACTGTAATTGTATGGAGCTATTTCTGTGTTTTCTATTCTGTTCCATTTATCTGTATGTCTACCCTTCAGTTAGGATCATGCAATCTTGATTACTGCAGTTATATGATTTTTCTACTTAAACCATCATGTCATCTGAACAAAGTATCTGGACAGATTTATTTCTTCCATTCTGATGTGTATGCTTTTTATTTCCTTTTCTTGCCTTATTGTCCTGGCTACAACTTCTAGTACTAGTTGAATAATAGCGGTGAGAGTGGACATCCTTCTTTTGTGCTAGAAAAGCATTCACTCTTTCACTATTAAGTATGAAGTGAGCTGTAGGTTTCGTGTATATACTTTTTATCAAGTTGAGCTTTCTGAGAATTTTAACCATGAGTGGGTACTAAATTTTGTTTAATGCCTTCTCTGCATCAATTGATAGGATCATATGATCTTTTTTAAGCCTGTTAATATGGTGAATCATACTGAATGATTTTCAAGTATTAAATGAGCCTTGCATCTCTGGAATAAACCATAGTTGGGTACAGTATCTTTTTAAATATTGCTGAATTCAATTTTGTCAATATTTCATCAAGGATTTTTGTGTTTACATTCATGAGAGATATTGGTCTATAGTTTCCTTTGTAATACAGTCTTTGATTTTGGTATTAGGGTAATATTAGCCTCATAAAATGAATTGGGGAGTTTTCTCGTTTACATTTCCTGGAAGAAATAGTATAGATTTGGTGTTAATTTTTCTTAAAAATTACACTTGATAGAATTCTCTAGTGAAACCATCTGTTTGTGGAGATTATTTTTTGAAGTTTTACAACTACTGATTCACTTTCTTTAACACTTATATGTGGCTATTGAAATGATCTATTTCACATTGTGTGAGATGTTGTAGTTTGTATTAATATTTTTTGAGGAATTAGTCCATTTTATCTAAATTTCTCAATTGTGTTCAGAATTATTTGTAGTATTCCCTTATGACCCTTTTGATATCTCTAGAGTCTGTAGTGAGTGATGTGCCCTGTTTCATCCCTGATTTGATAATTTGTGTCCTTTTTCCTTTGTCAGTCTTGTTAGAGGTTTACCAATTTTGTTTATCTTTTCAAACACTTAGCTTTTTTTTTTTTTGTCCAATTTTTTTTTTATTTCAGCATATTATGGGGGTACAGATGTTTAGGTTACATATGTTGCCCTTGCCCCGCCTCCGCCCCTAAGTCCGAGTTTCAAATATGTCCATTCTTCAGGTGGTGCGCATTGCACTCTTTGTGTATCAAACAGCTAGCTTTTTGTTTCATTGATTTTCTCTACTGTTTTTCTGTTTTCTATGTCATTGATCTCTGCTCTTATCTTTACTTTTCTTTCCTTCTGCTTGCTTTGGGTTTATTTTGCTCTTATTTTTCTAGTTTCTTGAGGTAGAAACGTAAAATTATTGATTTCAGATTTTTCCACTTTTCTAAACAAGCATTTAGTGCTATAAATTTCCCTTTCAGCACTATAACAGTTGCATCTCACAAATTTTAATTAAATCTTTTCAAAGATAAAGTGTCATAACCATTTTAACGTAACAGCTTTAGGAGACATAATTAACATTCCAATATGTTTTTTCATTCCCTTGAGACTTCCTCTTTTATCTATGGATTACTTAGAAGTGTGTTGTTTCGTTTCCACATGTTGCAGATTTTTTCTGTTATTTTTCTGTTATACATTCTAGTTTGATTACATTTTGGTTAGAAAACACTATGATTTTAATGTTTTAAATTTGTTTGCTATATGGCTTAGGATGTGGTCTATCTTGGTATTTGTTCTTTAAGCACTTGAAAAGAATGTATATTCTGCTGTTGTTAAGTGGAGAGTTCTATAAATGTTGAACAGATCCTATTGGTTGATGGAATGGTTGAGTTCTCCTATATGTTTGCCAATTCTCTGCATAGATGGGAATGTTAAAAGTCTCCAATGATAATTGTAGATTTGTGCTTTTGCTTCACATATTTCGTAGCTCTGTTGTTTGATGCACACACATTTAGGATTACTATTACTATTTCTTCTTAGTAGATTGACCCTTTTATTATTGTGCAATGTTCCTCTCTGCCCCTGGTAATTTTCTTTGCTCTGAAGTCTACTTTATTTGGTATTATTAATAACATTGCCACTGCTGCTTTATTTTCATTAATGTTTGTGTGCTATCTTTTCCATCCTTTTCCTTTCAATTTGCCTATATTATCACATTTGAAGAGTTTCTTGGGGCAGCATAAAGTAGGGGATTTTTAAAAAATCTATTCTTACAACCTCTTTTGATTGGTGTCCGATTTAATTTCCATTTAATGTAATTATTGGTATGTTATGGTTGTCTGCCATTTTTTTGTCTGATCTCTGTTGTTTCTCCATTTTCTCTTTCCTGTCTTTCTGTGGGTTACTTGAACGTTTTTAAGAATTCCTTTTGATTTACCTGTGCTGTTTCTGAGTGCATCTCCCTGCAGTGCTTTTACAGTGGCTGCTCTAGGTATTATATATACATAGCACATCTGTCTACTGGTGTTGGCATCTTACCAGTTTGAGTAGAGTGTAAAAAGCCTTACCCTTCTTTATGACTTACTTACGCCCTTGTTTATAATTGTCTTAAATATTTACTCTACATACGTGGAGAACCATAACAATGTTATAAATTCTGCTTCAATTGTCAAATATAAAAAATTCAAGAGAAGGAAAGTGTACTGTATGTACCCATATTTTACTGTTCCTTCTTTTTTCCTGATAATTCAAGATTCCTTCTTTTACCACTTTCTTTCTATTTAGAGAAATAGAACATGCTCTTAGTTTTCCCTCATCTGAGAATGTCATGATTTTCTTTATATTTAGGAAGGATGTTTTCAATGAACATAGAATTCTGGATTGGTATTTTTTGGGCTTTTTTAGCACTGAAAAATGTACAGCTTCCTTCTGGCTTCCATAGTTTCTGATAAGAAATTTGTTATGTGTAATGTTCTTTCCCTTTAGGTAAGGTGTCTTGTAAGATTTTTGTATTTAAGATTTATTCTTTATCATTAGTTTTCAGAAATCTGACAACTGTATCCTGGTGTGGATATCTTTGGGTTTATTCTTTTCGTGGTCTGCTAAGCTTCTTGTAGGTTTATGTCTTTTGTTTGCAGGTTCATGTCTTTTGCCAAACTTGTGGAATTTTCAGCCACCATTTCTTCTCACCCCCTTTCTTTTCTCCATCAGCAATTCCAATGACATAATGTTAGCACTTTATTGTTATAGTTCTATAGGTCCCTGAAGCACTGTCATTTTTTTCCCAACCATTTTCTCCCTGTTGTTCAGACTGGGTAATTTCTATTGTTCTATCTTCGAGTTCTCTAATTTTTTTTTTTTTCCCTCTGCATTGTTCACTCTGCTGCTGAGACCATCCATTGAGATTTTTACTTCAGTTATTGTAATTTTTGGTTGGTTCTATGTTATATCATCTATGACTAAACTAAAACTTTCTATTTCTTTGCTGAGACTTTCTATTTTTTCACTTGTTTCAAGTATATTTGTACTTGTTCACTGAAACATGTGTATAATAGTTCCTTTAAATCCTTGTCAGATAATTCTCACATCTGTGTTATCTCAGTGTTGGTATCTGTTTATTGTCTTTCCTCATTCTAGTTGAGATTTTCCTAGTTCTCACTATGATAACTTTCTATTCAAATCTGAACATTTTGCATATTATCTTATAATATTCTGGATCTTATTTAAATCCTGTTTTACCAGGTCTCCTCTGACACTGTTCTGGTGGAACTAAGGGGGTGCTGCCTTATTTCTGCCAGGTGGAGGCAGAAGTTCAGATTTTCCACTCAGCCTCTTCGACACCTGAGGTGGGGGGGAGCAGAGCCTCATTACTGCTGGGTGGAAGTGGGAGTTCTGGCACCTCACTAGGCCTCCACTGATTATACCATGTCTGGGGGAGGGGGAGGAGGTACCTTATTACTGCTCCTTATGTGGTCTCAACAGATACTATGTTATGGAGAGGAGCTTGTATTTTCAGCAGTAAAAGTTCTGACTCCCTCTTATGCCTCTTCTGACACCACCCTAGCAGGCAGATTGAGGGGTGCCTCATTACTGTCAGGTGGAAGTGGAAGTCTAGACTCCCCACATGGCCTCTGTTACACTGTCTGGGGAGAGGGGAGAGGTTTGTTACTACCCCGAGGAAATGAAAATCCCTTTACTGGGCCTTCTCTGACCCTACCCTGATTGGGAGTTGGGGTGTGTTACGGCATGGCAGAGGAGAAAGTCTAGGCTTCCCACTCAGCCTTTGCTGGTGGGAGTGGGCTACATTTTTCCTTTCTTGGTCTTTAGGCTAGGGAAAGCAGCTTTTCTCAGGGCTTTTGGTGTTTCCAGGTTACTGGCCTCCTCCAACACCCATATATCCCATCTATCTGGGATATATGCAGGGAAAAAAACAAACAAACCCCCAAACTCTGAGCATTCATCTCTGTGTTGTTTCTCAGGACTCAAGTGCCCTAGCCTGGTCTGCTTTGTTTTGTCCACTTTTCAGAATCTGTTTGTTTTATATTTGATGTCTAGGGTTTTTAGCTGCACTTAGTGGGAAGAATAGGAAAAGTACTTTTACTCTATCTTTCCAGAGGTGGGACCATTCTAATTTTATCACTAAGATCTAACTCTTTAATTTGAATTTGGAAAGATGAATATATTAAATCTAGCACACTTAAATTTCATCTGTATTTTAGAAATGAAATAAAAAGTGTAAGATATGCAAAAAGAATTCCTTTAACACTTAGAGTCAAATAGATAGTGCTATAGTTAAGTACGTATTGACAAATGGCAAGTTGGTAAAATGCTATCTAAATCTTCATGGATGACTATATGCATGTCCAAAGCTACAAATGAAAGAAAGCAAACCACTGACAGTATCATTCTTTCAGGGGAAAAAAAAACTAAGACAGCAAAAAAACTATCACAGAGATTAAATTTAAAAGGACAAAAGAAGTAACACATTAGAGGAAGACTATATAGAGAGTGAGTGTATTTCTTTTCAGCGGATTCTTCATACACATGGTGGAAACATATTTATCTAAGAGGAATGAAAAGGCACTTCATGTCTGCAAACAAACATATGAATCATGAAATGTTTATACTATGTTTCCTTGATAATAAAAAAAAAATTGCTAAGTAACCATAGAAAACATGAATAGTTCTAAAATTGGTATGTTTCCCATTTCATCACGAGATTACGTCAACGTCAGTCCTTTTAAAATATTTTAAATTGTATTTCCCCCTTCCCTATTTGTCTGTCAGCTCTTCCTGATATAGTCCCAGATTCAGTTCCTGATCTCTTGCTTCTCGTTTCTTTCTCACTTTTCAACTATCAAGAACCACTGAACTGAAATGTATGTTCTAAGATTTGAACATGGTTGTAGAATAAAATTGTACAAAGGAAACTAAAGTAAAAGTTAATCTGCAACACCTGAACCTGCAGCTCCAATGTGAGGCTTTCATCATAATTCTCTGGTTCTGTTTTGTGTTTCAACCTATAGAGTTCAAATGCAATTTTCTCAGGAAACAAAATAATTTGAAAGGGGGAAAAAATCACGAAAGGGAAAACTTCTGATTAGGAAACAAAAAGTACCTCTTCATCCAATTCTTTCATTATCTTGTCTAGTTTTATGTTTGAAGTTCTGTAAAAACAAAAGTAATATAGATTAGAAATATGTTTATTTCCTATTGCTCAGAGTTGAACACTCACATTCCTTCCTTTTTCATTTAACTAGTGTTTATTAACCTTTTTGTGTGCCATGGAGCTCTTTGGCAGTCTGGTGAAGCCTATGGCCTTTTTTTCAGATAATATGTTTAAAAACATAAAAAAATACATATGACTAAAAGAAGCCAATTATATTGAGGTACAGTAATAAACTTTTAAAAATATATATGATTTAGTAGTAATATGTTTATTAATATATTAAATCATAAGATCTAGTGGCAGTAATTTCAAAGTAGTGATGAGCATAAATGACAGAGATAACTGTAACAACTGTAATATAAGAAAATTCCTGTAATTTCTACTGGTAATAAAAAACTCATAACTACTGTTATTAATTATGGATTGTTGCCTATGCTCAGAGCTGAAGGAAATGCTAAATTTCAATTATAAGTTAGAGAAAATATTTACTTTTTCTCATTCAAGTGTAAGGACCTTGAATTCTATCTGTAGACCCTTTGGGGGAGTTTAGGGATCTCAAGTTAGGGATCCCTAAACTTCCTCATGCAATACTTGCTACTACACAAAAATTAGACATTTAACCTTAAGTAAGTGAAGGGGAAGGTGGCATACATCAAATCAGTAAATGTACCATTTGGCAACTTGGGCAAAAATTTGAGATGAACTAAAAGTGTATTATCTCCATAACAATTTGTTTTCTTTGGCTCAAAACGTAATTCTGAGCTCCAAACCTATATATGTAAAGTCTTCACATGGATGTCTCATCAAATACTTCATTCAGCATCTCCAAAAATGAACTTATTCCCTCTCCTCCACAATCCTACCCCCAATACAAATATGCTTCTCCTCTAGTAAATGACATCACCTAGGAAACATCCTTGACTCATCTTCCTCCTTCACCTCTATTTAGCTGAACAAATGCCAAGTGCTACCAATTTACCAGGAAGTTCTTTTTAAACAGCATATTTTGGTAACTTCTTAGCTTGCCCAAAAATGTCCTCCAAGATCTAGACCCTGTGACCTTCCCAGCCACACTGCAGGCTTTTCTTTCCCTTGCACATTACTGGCCAGTCGAGCTCTTACCTCAAGGCTTTCACAGATACCCACTCCCAGGACCCTAACACTTCTATTCTTCTCCCAGTAATTCTCATTGACCTTTCTGGTTCTAGCTTTTTCTGATCTCAGACAAAATAGTATAGGCATCTCCTGACATATTCCTGTATCATTTTATTCTTCTCTCCAGCTTAACACATCCCACATTTATTGAAAATTACTTATTTGTCTTCCTCACCAAATTACAAGCTCCATGTGGATAGGGGCTATGTTTCATTTTGTACTATATTGCTGGGAAGCAAATTATCTCACACATTAACTGAAATTTTTGTTGAATAAATGAATGTACCTAAAATGATTTGAATATAGAGAATTAGACTAGAATCAGTCCTAACTCAATCTATATGTGTTGGTGGTAGGGATGAACTTCTAGCTAAAAATTTGTTTTTAGCCTGCCCACTTATTCCAACCAAATTCTTCCAGCTCTTGCTTGAAGAAGAGGCTAGAAGTAGGACAAGGAAAGCCAAATTTTAAAAAACAGAGAGCTAAATTTTTGTGGGATAAAGTGTCCAAACAAAGTTCTAGTGCATAGATGAGATATACGTTTTAGAAAGAATGTATCAAACATTTGAACTTTCACAGGAAAATAAATGCAAATAAATTAAATAACACTCCACAATCCCTAGCACTAAATTTTTATTTAAAAACACAATTCACCAATTCAATACACGATTTTAAAAAGTCTCGCCTCATTTTATTTCCTTCAGGTTATATATTTTCATATGATTAATAGCCACTTTAGCAATTCTTATTTCTTCCTCAAATTGATCCCCTCCACCACCATACCACCAGTTTGTCATCTGCCTTTTAA